ACTAGCCCCTCCCATAATCTGAGACGTTCGGCCCTTGTGTGGAGCCCATAAACTGGGGAGAAAGTAAACTCGAAATTCATAGGGAGATATTTGACTAGCACCAACAAGAACTGGCCCTTATCATGAATAGAAGAGACCTCAAACGTATTGGTATTCCACATAATCCATATTTTATTAGAGTACGACATAAACACCTCTGAAAAACCCAAACTATGTTTGAAAAAATCACCTTTGTTTTGACCAACCAACGGTTCAATAATTGACACAAAATCAATAGAGTGGTGCCTAATAAAATGACGTAACCTCGGGCACGAATTAGCGAGGCCACGCACATTCCAAGATAAGAGCTTCATAAGGAAACCACCTCGGGGGGGTCTGTGCTGGTCCTCTTAGCAGCCAGCCGAGTAGTGACTGACCGAGGCGGGATTTCTTTGATCTTCTTCTTCGGTACCACTCCTAAAACACCCATATGTTTGCTTTCAATATCTGCAACCTGTTTTTGCAATTCCCGGCAAACTGATTTCCAAGCTTCTATAGTATATTCACCTAAAAAGTCATGTTCTCCATCTGAGACAAAGCCTTCCGTTTCCACAAGAATTCTGTCTTCCTCCCCTCTAACACTGCCTTCCTCAAACGAGATGAATTTGGTCACATTGGAGGAAGAAGCAAGAACCACCTCCTCCTCCACTCCCTTAGCACTGCACCCTCCCCCAAGGGGACTTTAATGTTATTACCACTCTGCTCACTCACCTCCTGATTTACCTCCACAACTTCCTTCTTTTGATTAGCATTTAAGTCCTCCCCTCCATCTTGATTAAATAATTCACCTTCGGATTGAGAGATTTGGTCACTCGTAGTGTTCACCTTATCCGAAACCTCCCCTTCCCCATTTGTTAGAATTGTGTCCTCCCCTTTTTCTGTGATCTGTAACACTGACAACTTTGCTTCGGGATTCAAAAGCATCTCGTTCTTCTTTGATGTTTCTGGTTGTTCCTCCTCAATGATCTCCTTATTTTTCCCATGTTTTTTCCTCAAAACTTGGACCCATCGTTCTGGAGCCTTTTGAGGATCATTCCCTTTCTCCTTTCTTACCAATTGAGCCGCCTGCTGCTGACCACCCTGCACTAACTGAGTCCTTGGAATACCACATTCTTCTTTTGCATGCCCAATCTTATTACATTTAACGCAGTAGTTAGGTAATTCTTCATATGAGACCGGCTGAATGATCTCTTTTGTACCATGCATAATGAGAACTTCAGAAGGGATCTCTTGGAGTAGATCTAGTTCAACGCAAACCTTAGCCGTGGAGGGTCGTGAAAGGTTTGCAGTTGCTGCATCAACTTTGAGCGGCTTCCCTATCATTCCCGCAATAGAGAAAAGAGCCCTCTTATCATGCAAATGTAAGGGCAATCCATCCAAAGTAATCCAGACCGGTACAACGGGGGACTCAATGTCCGGTCTAAATTCTGGGGTCCATCTTGTAACCTTCATTCTAAATCCAAGGATAATCCAATATTGTCTCAACCAACATCGTTGAAAATCTTCCTCTGAACCAAATTTTAACAAAATATGACGTTGATCGAGTAGGCCTAGCGTGAGAGAACCTTTAAAGCCTATCTTCTCGAACTCCTTCCTTAACGTTGTCATAGAGGGCCTCCCTCTAGAAAAGGATCCAACCAGTGCATACTTGTGCTGTTCCGCAAGCATTGATATTTCATCGTCGGAGAACTGAATCGCCGGCATGCCACGATGACGGAAAGGTGCTTTGAGCGGGATGTCCTTATTGGCCGCCAACACCTCTGCGAACGAGCGAACCGCCCCCCCCCCCCCCCCCCCCCCCCCCGACCCTCCGGCCGGGGCGGCCCAGGGAGATGATGCTACCATGCAATCGCCAAAGCAGTAAACCCTATTTTCCTGCCTCGACTTATGAGTCAACAACACTTTTTGCATATATTGGTACACTTTTCGTATAAATATTTTATCAAAAGTTCTTCATAATTACCAAACGCCACCGCGTTTTTCACTTAAAATTTGATATCTTCCATCCATTTTTCATATCAATGGTCAAGATTAGTTCTTATTTTTCACCTAGGAAACACTTTTTATTCCTGTCCGGAAATTCCGGACAGGAGCCCCGTCCGGCCTCCTCCATTTGGGGGCCTTTCCGGTAGTATTTTTTGCTCAAATATTTTGTGTATGTTCCTCATCAAGTCTAGTGCATCCACACCAAATGTCAGCAAAAAATTCAATTGGGAAGGTCGTCAAATGATTTTTGCAAGTTAACTGGTCCGGAAAATACACATATTTCGGACCAGTTAACTTCCAAAAATCATTTGACGACCTTCCCGATTGAATTTTTTGCTGACATTTGGTGTGGATGGACTAGACTTGATGAAGAACATACACCAAAAAAATTGAGCAAAAACTACCACCGGGAAGGCCCCCAAAAGAAGGAGGCCGGACGACGCTCCGGTCAGGAAATTCCTTACCGAAGCCGCCGTGCGGCCTCCACATTTTGATGGCCTTCCCGGTGGAATTATTCGATGAAATATTTTGAGCATGTTCCTAATCAAGTCTAGTACATCCATACCAAATGTCGGCAAAAAATTCAATCGGGAAGGCAGTCAAACGAATTTTGGAAGAAAACTGCGTTTTATATGTATATAAAGGGTGCAATTATCTTCCAAAAATCATTTGACTCCCTTCCCGATTGATTTTTTTGCTGAAATTTGGTATGAATGTACTAGACTTGATGAAGAACATGCTCAAAAAATATCATCGAAAAATTAAACCGGGAAGGCCCTCAAAACGTGGAGGCCGCACGGCGGCTCCGGTAAGGTATACCTTATCAGAAGAGTTACCATATATATATATATATCTTAAAATCATATAATTGTCAATGAAGGTTATGCCATTTTAGGAATGAAAAAATGTTGGTGTAATATGTGCCTTTATGAGGTGGTACAATGTGTTTTATAATGTGTACTCGAGGTAAGGGTCAGATTGGTACTCAAAATTGCATAAAAAGGGTCAAATAAGTCCTTATATAGGAGGCTCTGTCCGGCCGTCGCCATTTGGGGTGGTTCCCGTGGGAATTTTATGACGAAATTTTTTTAGCATCTTATTCATTAAGTCTAGTTTGCTCATACCAAATTTCAGCTAAAACTTCAATCAGGAAGGCATTCAAATGAATTCTTGAGGTTTTAACTGCACAGTTATCTTCAAAAATTCATTTGAATTCCTTTCCGATTGAAGTTTTAGCTGAAATTTGGTATGAGTAAACTAGACTTAAGGAATAAGATGTTCAAAAAATTTCATCAAAAAATTTTACCGGGAACCGTCCCAAATGGTGACGGTCGGACAGTAAGGACTTATTTGATGCTTTTTATACAATTTCGATACTCTTACCTCCATATAATATTACTCCGTATCTGACTTCGGGAGTTCGGGTCAGAAGTCGTATACTGCGTATTATTCACTTTTTTTGGTAAATATTCACTTGTAAAATGTAAAAATATCTACAACTACCCACTTGACACCACTCACTCGATTTATATTATTATTTTCGAAATTACACCCAATCACTATCAACCACCAGTCCACCACACTTAATATAATTCGTAACGTCACAAAAATATCTTGGGGACGTAAGTGTAGGGGTTTTTCATGAAATGAATCCAATTTGAACTAAAGTAGATGACTTTTAATTGTTATTTTTTTTTAAAAACAAACTTATCACTTCGGTATCACTTCTCATGTTACTTTGAATTTGAGTTTAAGAAAGGGGTTATGATTGAGTATGAAAAGAGTAAATGAATCTTAATCACACAATACTTTCTAAATAGATAAATGAAAAGAATTTTTTGGGACATTTGATCTCAATAAAGTAAATATGCCGAATTTTCACGGACGGATGGAGTAATCTTTACACCTATCCTCATAACACTGGTATCTTACTTTTGATCATTGTTTTTGAAATTGTACACCCAATCATTCTTAATATGGCTGGGTATTTTTGGCAATTGTACACTTCAATATTCCATAAAAAAACTTGAGTAGGAAATGATTTCACTTTAAGTTAAACCAAATCTTCTCAATAAAATTTAGCTCTTCTTTTATGATCCCTTTGCTGAAATTTATGAAATTTCGTATTGGTTGATTTTGGTTTTTTTATTAAAAAACTATATTCAAAATATAGTTTATTAATAAAATAAAGAGAAAATTATATGAAAATAGCTAAAATGATCATCTACAGTAACTTCAGCCAATACAGCCATAAAGCAGCTTCAGCCTTACTTTTTACTTTTTATTATCATTACACAATTCAGTGCGCAAAATCAAAATTTACGTGTTTGGTTAAAAAATTGATTGATAAGTCCGATAAGCCAAAAAACAGAGTCACCAAACAGGTTTTATGCGTGGAATCGTGGATGCAAGTTAATACAATGTTAGTGAACACATTAAGAGCCCGTTTGGTGACACCTTTTTTTCGGCTTATCAGGCTTATCAGCCGCCATTTTCACCAAACATGTAACTTTTACTTTCTCGGCTTATCAGGCTTATGTGTAATAATAATAAAAAGTAAGGTCGAAGTTACTTTTATGGTTATATTGGCTGAAGTTATTTTGTAGAGGATCAGTTTAGCTATTTTTTCATGTAGTTTTTTATTATATTTTATTAATAACACATACTTTAAATATAATTTCTTCACAAATCAGCAGAATCACTCAATACAGCCAAGACACTTTAGCCAAAACTTCATAAATTGCAGCGGAATCAGTCAATACAGCCAATTTCAATGTTATCAAATGACATCTAACTCTATATATCTTCTTTAACTTCCTTTAGCTTTACGCATTCCATTTTCTTTGATCTTACTATAATCTCTCATAACAAGGCACGTGAGAGAAACTTAATTCTGCCTTAATTGCTTACACTCTAGTGTGTCGTTAAAACTGTGAAATGTTTTGACTAGCTTTTTATAGATAGTAGAGATAACGTTAGGGAGGTAGAAGAGCTGAAGAGTGCTGGGCATGACCCCATGGCATCATCAAAGGCTTATGGCTCAAGGCTCTAATTATATAATCATAAGCATTCTTCCATTAATTCTTCCAAATGTCTACTTGTGAGCTTCATGTTTTTCTACTTAGATTAGTTTTATTTCTTTACTTGCAGCGCAACTCATCAATGTTTATGTTCTAAGGCAAAAAAAGAATCTCGGATGTTACTCCGTATTATTGGTCTTCATTCTTTATAGTTTGCAGCTAGTTCATTACAAGTTTCAAGTTTGTGCCGCTGATTAATACTACATCGGTCTCATTTTGTAAGTTACATTTTCCTTTTCTTTTTTGGATAATTGTCCCACGAATATGAACGATTTCCTATTTTGAACTTCATTAATCTTGTATTTCCCATTTTATCTACTCCGTATCATTTATCCTCTATTTTATGTAGACTCATATTACTCGTTCTTAATTTTTCAATGTTAGGATGGTAAAATAATCACTTTATCTTTTATTTTCTTAAAATTTTGTCAAATTAACATACTTTATTTGTCAAATAACCACTTTATCTTTTATTATTTTAGATGAATATACTTTATTTGATAATATTTGGAAGGTTATAATTTATTCTTACTTTATACTTCCTCCGTCCCGCTAGAAAGTTCCCGTTACGGTTTACGATGCTTGACTGACGATAAAGCAACTTAATCATTGTTTAGACTCTGATATTTTTAGTAAATAAAATTTACATATTCAGAAACTACATATAAAAAGCAAAAGATTAATAATGATTTAAGTTAACCATATGAATAGTGGATGGGAACCTTCTAATGGGACGAGATACTAACATTTTTTAATTCAATGAGTATCAATCACACATGTCACTTTTGTTAATACACATGTCACTTTTGTTAATACCGAGCCACCCCTCTTGTTCAAATTTTAGGGGGACGAAGCTAGTACTAAACTTCCATTTCGCTTTTCGAGGGTCAACTTAAATCACACTTAAACTTTTACTTTATATATCAAAATTTTATAAAAAAGTAATTTTTTTTGCAAGCTTTGTAGCGGGTTTGATGTAGTTTCTGAATATGTAAATTTTATTTTCTAAAAATAATCTGAGTTTTCACAGGGATCATTTAACTTTATCGCTGGTCAAACTTCGTAATCCGCAATTGGAAGTTTAATATGGGACGGAGGTAGTCTTCCTCCGTTCCCTTTTAATTGCAACAGTCAACATTTCACGTTTGCCAACGCACAAGTTTGACCATTAATATCTTTCATTCCTTATTAGTAAAAAATTCAAAAAATTCATATTTTGAAAATTTAGAATGAGAAGAATTTAATAATATTTTTAAAAAAATTAATTTATAATACATTAATGAATAAAATATAGTCAAAGTAGAATATGTGAATAGTGCAAAAAGTCCAATGTTGCGATTAAATGAGAATGGATGATTGATAGTATTAGATATTGACCAATTGCGGAAAAATCGTGTAAAAATGAGTCTCGTATTAAGAGAGTTATGTCAATAGTATAAAGAGTGAAAATGAATTTTAGATGTGGACACATGCGCAACTTGATCAATAGAAGTTAAGTTTGAACTTGATTAGCAAATAAATAACCCAAAACGAGTCATAAACAAAATTGAAATTGCTGTTTTAAAAATAAAATTTGATTTGTTTTATTCTCCAAATAGAATTTGTTTAATTCTATTAGAAGAATAAGTTGATTATTATTTTTGAATAAGAATGAATGTATCTTATTTTAAGAATAAAACAATAATCGTTCTATGAACTAAGTATGTTTTTATTTGGACTGTTTTCAGTCCCAGATCAGATCAGATCAGACCAGACTTGAACAATTATAAAATACACAGGAATCAGATCAGATCAGATCAGATCAGACTTGAACAATTATAAAATACACAGGAATCAGACTTTACGAGACCAGACCAGTTCAGACTCGACCAAACCAGAAAAATTTCAGTTCAAGTAAAAATATCTTTATCCTTCTTTTAGTTGTCATCATCATTTTCATTTACCCCAGTGCCACAAAGGCTCCCGTCTACGGTGGGGTAGGGGGGTCAGATGTACGCAATCTTACCCTTGTACTAAAGCACAGAGAAACTGTTTCCAGACTCATTGTGAAAATCGTGTCCAAAATTGCATGGACTGACTGATGCTTCATAACAAAGAAGCGCAGACAATTTAGTGAATCATTTTGCTTTATTCCATCATATTCTCAAATAAAAAAATAATGAATCTTTGACTCCATTGAAAAATCATCTTTTGTAATTTTCTCAAACAAAATAATGTGACAATTATTGTAACATTTTAACCTTATTGCCTTATTGGGACGTGTTTGAAACAAATCAATCAATTACCAAGTCAATGGGTCATACTACCTCCGTAACCCTAGAATCTTCCCAGTTTGACTCTTTTGGGTCAAACTTTATAAACTTTGACCATTATTTATTCAAAACTCACATTATGTTATGATTAAAAATTTATTTTATATACCTCATTGTAAAACATATTATTTGAATTTTAATTTATTATGAATTTTATAAATATAGATATGCAGATATTTAGAGTCAAAGTTCAACTTAGAAGACCGTGAAAAGTCAAAATGGGAAGATCTTTGTGTTACGGAGGTAGTAAGAAAAATGTGTTACCATGAAGGAAAACTGTGTTCTTGAATTATCCATGCGCGGATGCGCCTGCATAATTGACCACTATCAAAGTCAGATGCGCGTAAATGCATGCTTGCTGGTCGTGGTCCATTAGCATTCATATATCTATTGAACAAGATGGTAATTCATGACTGTGAAGCCATCTTTCCAGAAGAACTTGATCAAAGATCTTAAAGAGGAAAGAAGGAGAAGAAGAAAACAAGAAAAAGGAGTTGGCCGGAAATGTCAAACTCCGATCACCAGAGCTACCCATACCACCACAACTCCGACACGGAACCCGTCGGAGCTGATAGGAAACTGTTCAGCGGTCCACTGAATCAAAGGGCCGGGAAAAGGAGCGTCCGGCTCAACCTCCCCGGCGAATCTGGCTCGTCGGAGTCAGGGATCCCGTCGGCCAAGCCCTCAGATGAGGACTCCTACGTAGAGATCACCCTCGACGTCCGGGAGGACTCCGTCGCGGTCCACAGCGTGAAGACAGCCGCCGGCGCCGACATGGAGGACCCGGAGCTTGCCCTGCTGGCAAGGGGCCTGGAGAAGAAGACCAACTTGGGTTCCTCCGTCGTGAGAAACGCTTCGTCCCGAATCCGGCAGGTGTCGCAAGAGCTCAAGCGCTTAGCTTCACTGACGACGCGGACCCATCACGGCGCCGGCAGGTTTGACCGGAATAAGTCCGCCGCCGCTCAGGCTCTGAAAGGGCTCAAGTTTATCAGCAAGACCGACGGGGCCTCCGGCTGGGCCGCCGTCGAGAAGCGGTTCGACCAGCTCACTGCCTCCACCAGTGGGTTGCTCCCCCGGGCAAAGTTTGGTGAATGCATAGGTAATTAACTTTCCAAAAAAAATTCAATTGTTCATATTTTATTGGGATAATGATTTGGCTGTCAACAAAACTAATATTTTGTGGAACTTAATGATGATTAGGTATGAACAAGGAGTCGAAGGAATTTGCCGACGAGCTATTCGCTGCTCTAGCTAGGAGGAGAAACATTAACTTTGATTCCATCAACAAGACACAGCTCCAAGAATTCTGGGACCAAATCTCAGATCAGAGTTTCGACACCCGCCTTCAGACCTTCTTTGATATGTAAGAACATAGTTAGGATTAAGTTTAGGATGATGATCATAGAGCATTCCTAATCCTAACTAATGGGCATGAAATTGTAGGGTTGACAAAGATGCAGATGGGGCAATCACTGAAGAAGAAGTCAGAGAGGTAGAGTCTATCTATATTACTAGCTGTTAGTCTGTTACTAGTGTTTTGGTCACTTTTTTGAGGATTTATCTCTAAATTTTTAGATTTTAGATATTTATCATTGAGTTTGGCCATTTCTTATTGTGCAGATCATAAGCCTAAGTGCTTCTGCAAACAAGCTGTCAAATATCCAAAAACAAGCTGATGAATATGCTGCCATGATTATGGAGGAACTAGATCCTAGCAACCTAGGATACATCAAGGTACATACATACTAACTAAAAGCTGATGTCATAATATTTCTACAAACTCACATGTCAGTCTTCAATTAATTAACAATTAATATGTGGGTTAGAGTCCCTAACATATATTAAAGAAACTTATTATGTTAGTTGTCCCACATCGGATGGCAACCCGTTCCCCCGCTCCTATCAAAAGCTTTTGTTTCCCCATGAGATGTTAGATGTCAATCCTAATGATATGTGCCACTAAAAAATGCGCAATCGAGACGATACATCGTGCTGAGAGGTGTTTGCTCCTATGTGACAAGAAGAAAAATGAATTGCATGATTAGATTAAGTGTGTAGTCGTGAGGAGTGGTAAAGAGTTTGTCTTATTTTGTCTTATACTAGTATGAAATAGCAAACTAACTTGTAAGATTATGAAATTCTCAAGTCTTAATAGTTCATAAGCTCTTGGATTGAATTAACTAATACTACGTAAATTATATTTAATCTTCAAGTGTCATTTTGCTAGTGTATTATGACCAAGTTGAATGACCTAATCTGATCTAGAGTTCTATTGATTCGATTACATGTGTAACAGATTGAGAATTTGGAGATGCTGCTATTACAAGCTCCAAGCCAGACAGTGAGGGGGCATGACAGCCGTAATTTGAGCCAAATGCTGAGCCAAAAACTGAAGCCGACGGTGGAGCCGAACCCTCTGATCCGATGGTACAGAGATTTCAAGTACTTCATGTTGGACAATTGGCAGAGAGGTTGGGTGCTTCTACTGTGGATTGGAGCTATGGCTGGGCTGTTTGTTTGGAAATACATTCAGTACAAGAACAAAGCTGCTTATGATGTTATGGGTGCCTGTGTTTGTATGGCTAAAGGTGCTGCAGAAACACTTAAGCTGAACATGGCTATCATTCTTTTACCTGTCTGTAGAAACACCATTACCTGGCTGAGAAACAAGACCAAGTTAGGCAAGGCAGTCCCTTTTGATGACAACCTCAACTTTCATAAAGTAAGTGCTGATCCATGTTCCTATACTTGTTGTCCTGATTGTCAAGTCATTCTACTCCAAAACAAATTTAGCATATAAGTCATTTGATTTATGTTTCAGGTTATCCTGAATTTAATCTCTTAATATAGTATGAGAGCCCAAGTTGTCCGATGTTGAGACCACCATCTACATTTGTTTTCTTGTGAACTTTGGGCGTCTAGGAGCCATGTTTAAGTCCCACTTTGAAACCTTACAGGCTTGTTTGGTTCATGGATACCCCAGGGGGAGATAAAGTTTATTCTGTAACTTGTTTTACATTTCTACGGTTTGAAATAAAGTAAAGATAAAAAACTATATAAAAATACATGATCTATATAATCATATAATTATTTCTAATCCAAAACTAATAAATCGAGCTAAGTAGATAACTTAGTGAATATAAACCAATCTTCCCTTCTTATTTCCTCCGAAATCCCCGAATTAAGTAACCCTACAGTTCTTTTCAAAACCGTAAATATAGAGGCAAATCCTAAAAATACAAACAGATCAATGAGGTTTCGGATTACTCCTCTTATATGTTTTGTCTTGACTGCAATATTATTTCAGATTAACAGGCAATTATTTGTATTATAATGTGTAGACATTCTCTAGTTGTGATTGTAAACTCCTGCAATAGCGTCTCACAGTGAATATGTTATATTTCTTTAGGTGATAGCAGTGGCTGTGGTGATTGGGGTAGGAATACACGCAATAGCTCACTTGACGTGTGACTTCCCTAGGCTTCTGCACGCGAGCCGGGAGAAGTACGCTCCAATGGAGCAGTTTTTTGGACATCAGCCACAAAACTACTGGTGGTTTGTGAAGGGAGTGGAAGGGGTAACAGGGATTATTATAGTGGTCTTGATGGCTATAGCTTTCACCTTGGCTACTCCATGGTTTAGAAGGAACAGAGTGACCTTGCCAAAACCCTTTAACAAGATTACTGGTTTCAATGCCTTCTGGTATTCCCACCACCTCTTTGTTATTGTCTATGCTCTCCTCATTGTACATGGTGTCAAGCTCTATTTGACACATAAGTGGTACATGAAAACGGTTAGTGCCGATACATTTTCTTGTGTGCTGTTAATATAAATTTTAAATGGGATATATCCGTAGAAGATTTAGCGAATTGGTAAATTGCAGACATGGATGTACTTGGCTATTCCTGTGGTAATTTATGCTTGTGAAAGATTGCTTAGGGCATTCAGGTCTAGCATTAAGCCTGTCAAGATTCTCAAGGTAACAATTGCATTAATTTTATCATCTTTAATTATTTGTGCCTCATCTGTTCCACAAAGATAGGCCACATTTGACTTTTTGGCCAATGGTGTTGAAATTTGACACTTCATTTACTCAAATGAATTCTAACATGAAGTTAATATAAAATGACACTTTGACTTTTTGGTGCTATCATAAAAGTACAAATTTTATAGTTTTCACTCACTATAATATATCGATTAAATATATTGGCTAGAATTGAATGCCTTTGCCAAAAAAGGTAAATGTGACATATATTTGTGGGATGGAAGGAGTAATTAATTATAGAATGTTATTAGTTGTTTTCCATGTTTGACTGATCCTGCAAAATGTGAAGGTGGCTGTCTATCCTGGAAATGTTTTAGCTCTTCATATGTCAAAGCCTCAGGGCTTCAGATATAGAAGTGGTCAATACATGTTTGTCAACTGTGCTGCAGTTTCTCCTTTTGAATGGTGAGGACTGCCCCTCTAAAACATCACTTTTATACACATTAATTCTGTTTTTTCCTTCCAGAAACTTTTGTTTCCCATTACTTTGAATTTTCTTAATGTTTTGGTGATCCATATCCGCATCACAGGCACCCCTTTTCAATTACATCTGCCCCGGGAGATGACTATGTTAGTGTCCACATTAGAACCCTTGGTGATTGGACGAGACAGCTCAAAACTGTTTTCTCACAGGTAAATATTTTACCCTTTTTACTCTTTACAACACATAAATATTTAATAATTATAAAGCTTTATATTCACCCCTACCTAGGTATGCCAGCCACCACCTAATGGGAAAAGTGGACTCCTAAGAGCTGATTACCCTCAAGGAGACAACAATCCCAAGTAAGGGTCATTTTACCATTCTTGAAAGCAAACTTCTATCTGGTTTCATGCTACTTCCCATACAAGTGGGGAAATACCTTTGATTGTTACAGTTTCGGAATATCTTCTCATTATTCCTTTATGAGGTTACCACAGGAAAGACGTTCGGTGTAGAACTTTAACTATGTTCAACAATTTGTTGACACTATAATGTTAGACAATTATTTGACACTAAATCTCATGCCACCCGACGCAAATAGTTGGGATTAAGGTGGCATTGATGATCAAACCATACTTTTGGAGAGAGATATACTAAATTTTTTCACTTTAGTCCTATGATTGTTGTGTTATATAACACTTCGGCACCTATTTTTAACTCTTTCCTCTTGTAGTCATCATACTATAGTAACAAATACACTTTTGGTCCTCACCATCAAATTTTGCGATAATAATAGGACCAAAAGTGCTACAATTACAATAGTTGGAGAACAAAAAAATCAGTTTTACAAAACTCTCAGAGGACTGAAGGTGGAAAATTTTAAAAACGTATCAAAAAAATTCTCTATAACCGCAGTCAGGAAATATAAAAATACGAGCATGAAAGTTTCATTGCCACAATAGTCGAAGGACTAAATGTGGAAAAACTCTAGATATGACTATCAATATATAGGTATGAGAATGCTATATTAATGGGTAGCTGACTTAATATAAAATGGCAGTTTCCCGAAGGTGATGATTGATGGACCGTACGGAGCACCAGCACAAGACTACAAGAAATATGATGTGGTTCTGCTAGTAGGTCTAGGAATAGGAGCAACCCCAATGATCAGCATAGTAAAGGACATTGTGAATAACATGCAGGCAGTGGAGGAAGAAGAGAGTGGGGTGGAGAATGGGCATGGAGTTGGCAGCAACAATGGAGGGAGAAACTTCAAGACAAAAAAGGCGTACTTCTATTGGGTAACGAGGGAGCAAGGGTCATTTGACTGGTTCAAAGGGATCATGAATGAAGTGGCTGAGATGGACCATAAAGGAGTCATAGAGATGCACAACTATTGCACCAGTGTTTATGAAGAAGGCGATGCCCGCTCTGCCCTCATCACTATGCTCCAGTCCCTCCACCATGCCAAGAGTGGCGTCGACATCGTTTCTGGAACGCATGTTAAGTCTCATTTCGCCAAGCCTAACTGGCGCAACGTATACAAACGTATTACCCTCAACCACACCAATGGCAAAGTTGGTGAGTTATATTTTTCCTTATCTTTCTATGTTTTCATAAGACATCCCACCAAGATTTGCCATTTCTGCTTTCTTGATAAAAAAGTTTAAACTTTCGACCAATATAAATGTTCTTTATACTTATGATAATACAAAGTTTATAATTTTTCACTTTTGAGGTATGAATTTTACATCCAATAGCTCCATGTTTGTTGTTCTCAAATAACTCTGGCTTGTGCATTTTGGCAAACTTGTTTTTACAGGGGTTTTCTACTGTGGGGCACCAGCACTGACAAAAGAGCTAAGACAGCTAGCCTTGGATTTTTCTAGAAAGACATCCACCAAGTTTGATTTCCACAAAGAAAATTTTTGACCTATTAATTGCTTAAGTTAAGAATAGATTGCACAACTACTCCCAATGTCTACTGTACAGAGGTTCTTGATTATTGAATTCATCAGTTTTGTATGAAGTCGGATTCTGCAATTATATTTCAAAAGTGGCGGCCATGCGTTGACAGTTAAACTGGCAATGGAAATCATTTGACTTTTGATGGGAGGACCCTTCAGCACTCATGGAAGACTAGAATATTAGACTTATCCATATGAACTCGACTAGAGCATGAAGACCAGGGTGACGTCAATGCATATATCATATATGTATATGTATATACACATATACATACATACATAAATGTATGTCTGTATCTATGTATGTACGTATATAGAATTTGGTTCAAATCACACATTATTTCATCGGTCCTTTAAAAAAAATTATTTCATAGGTGAAAAACTCTCCCTCCATTGTATTATGTTGGATTTTTTCCTTTTCGTTTGTCTATTAAATTTGTCTCATATCATATTTGGTAACATTTGTGTGATTATAATTCATTCATCCTTTATTTATATTTTACCAAATTAATACTAATTGCATAACTCTACTTCTCCAGAGAATTGTATCACACCTAGGGATGGACCGGGACCGGGCCGGGCCTAAACAATACCGGGTCAGGACCGGGACGGGCCTGGGCAATAAATTAAAAAGATAACGCAATTGGGCCTAGTACTGGTCCAGGCCCGGCCGGGTCGGGCCTATAAAACGAGCCCGAAGTCCGCCCTTATAGCCTTCGGGCTGGGCCAGACCTAAACAGTACCGGGACCGGGTCTGGCCCGGGTCGGGCCGACCCGTTCCATTCCATCCCTAATCACACCCTCTTGCAATTTTAGGGGAAAGAGTAGTAAGAACTAATACTACACACTAGTATTAGTCCAGACCTGGCCGGGTCGGGCCTATAAAACGAGCCTGAAGTCCGCCCTTATAGCCATCGGGTTGGGCCAGACCTAAACAGTATCAGGACTGGGTCGGGCCGACCCGTTCCATTCCATCCCTAATCACTAGTAAGAACTAATACTGCACATTAGTATTAGTCCTTGATTTGAAAAATTGATGAAGGATATCAAATTTCAAGTAAAAATGCAGTGATATAGTCATAATTGTGACAAATTTTAGATGAATGTAATGTAATAACGTTTAATAAAATATATAAAATATGTTTATTAAAATATAGTATTATAGAAAAGTGAATTAGAGTACATATTAAAATGTGCATAAGTTTAACTTAACTACGGAGTAGTATGTAACCCGTGTGATGCAGGGGGCAAAATATTCTTTTAGGTTATTTATGATTTTTATAGAATAAAATGTTAATGAATGATAGTTAAGTACTCACTCCGTCCCATAAAACTTGGCCAATATTGATTTGCATATTTTTGTTACTTTAAATGGAAATGGTAAAGTTTTTTAGGACGATCAAAAAAGGAACATTGGCAAAGTTTTATGGGACGGAAGTAGTTTAAACTAAAAGTGTAATACATTTATAATATAACAAAAAATGACATTTATAGTTGGTATAACAAATACAAATACAATAAACTGATTATATCATAAAAGGTAGAATTACACGTTTTGAAAACCCTCGGGATACACAACGTTTATTGCGAAACTACTTTGGATGTCGTTGCTGTTGCATATCAATGTTTTCAATCCTTGCCGGGGCGGCGGTGACTCGTGACACAACAAAAAGTTGACCATGACAAAAAAAAATAGAATTCCTCAATGACAACTGATTGTCATTGAGAAAACGGTTGGCTTTGACTTTTATTGATTGTCATTGCATATGAAATAACAATTGAAAATTGTCTTCATTGAAACTTCAATGACATTGTCACATACTCCGTATGAAGGAGTCAAATTAAATTTTACAATCAACACTTTTTGTCCTAAAGTATGTAAGAATAATTAACTTTGAGGAACGGTAAGAACTTGTCACATTGACTTTCCCTAAAATATTTAAAACTTGTTAGGCTGCAAACTACTTGAAGTAACTAATTATTATTTTCAGTTGCTGAATTGCCTCCATGGACTAGAATGACAAAATTGATGTTAGGATATTTCCCTACGCCCTCTTTTGACACATAACTTCCCCACAATGTGCATTTCACATTCTTTTGGCTATACAACACCAAAATTTTTACTGGCCTTGTTTGGTAATCGGCTGTTAGCTGTTAGCTGCTAGCTGGTTACGACAACTGTTTGACAATAACTGGTTGTATCAACTATTTTAGTTGGCTGATTATGTTAGCTTGTTGTCATAAAATGTTTGGTAAATTAACTGTTTAATAATAGCTGTTTGCGTATAAAAAGACATATAAGGACATTATTATTTTATTTCATTTTTAGTTTTGCTTGCAATAATAATATACTTAAATTTACTTAGAGAGTAAATCATTCAAATTTTAGAAATTATATTGATAAATACAAATGCATGAGAAATAAAATAAATTAAAATAAACATTTAAAATTAATTTGAATAATACTCCATATGAATTAAAAAATCAAGTTTGTTTGTAATTTATAAAACTAAATAAACTTTTAGTTTGTAATAAAATGAAGTTTAATGAACGCCGCATGTAAGCATTAGATGCACATGTGTGCTGTGTGCACTAATGCGTGAACTGGGAAGGCAAAAAAAAAATGTGCTGCTATTAAGTATTATAAGAGAGCGCATAGACGGAAGAAACGAACAAGCCGACCCAAAACGCTGCACTTGTTAGCGTTTTCATCTTTAGCTGATTGGATTCAACAAGCTAAATTAACCAGCTATTTACCAAACAAACAATTTAGCAATTTAGATGGTCAAATTCATTAATTGTGGTCAAACAAGCTAAAAATTGGCTGATAAGCCATTTTTCAAACAAGGTCACTATGTTTTTGAAGAGGCGAGATATAAATCATGTTAGGAAATGGCTTTCCAAAACAGCTTATATGCATGCTTTGAGCTTTCTTAGTAATAGGGCATAGCTGAAGGGTTGCTAGGCTCTCCCACCCCATGTGAAATTGTGAAAAAGTCTTTATACAAGTTCACTCTGATGTTTTTATGGTTACGCCATTGCTTTATAAGATCAATATACCACATCACTTTTTTAAATGTCATAATCTTAAGACTAGTTTTTGTACCATTTCAACTTGTTCATGAGAATTAAAAGAATAATGGATTACGTTGTTGTTCCTGACTTCCTGTACAAGCATAAGATTTTGTTGACAACAAGCGTAACAATATCCCCTTTTATACTCACAAATAATATACTCCGTATTTTAAAGTAGCCACTTGAACAAGTATTAAATCACATGGTAATAGTTCCCCTTCCAAAAACAATTAAGACTAAAGGGTCAAATAGGCCCTTGAACTGACTTAAAGTGTTCAATTAGCTTCTTATATAGGAGGTTCTGCCCGGCCATCGCCAATTGGGGCAGTTCCCGGTGGAATTTTTTGATGAATTTTTTTGAGCATCTTATTCATTAAGTCTAGTTTACTCATACCAAATTTCAGCTAAAAATTTAACCGAGAAGGCAGTCAAATGATTTTTTGAAGATAACTTCAAAGTTAAACAGCGCAGTACATTTCGGAAAATCATTTGACTGCCTTCCTGGTTGAATTTTTAGCAGAAATTTGGTATGTGTAAACTAGACTTAATGAAGAAGATGCTCAAAAAATTTTATTAAAAAATTCCACCGGGAACCGCCCCAATTAGCGACGGCCGGGCAGAACCTCCTATATAAGGGGCTAATTGAACACTTTAAGTTAGTTCAAGGGCCTATTTGACCCTTTAGCCAACAATTAAAGCTCATAGGAAGCAAAGAGAAAAGAGTCAAATAAGCCATCGAACCATTTGCGATTTTGCAATCAAGCTCCTGAACTAAAAGACTTGCAAATCCACCCCTCAACTCATTGAAAATTAAGCAATCAGATCGTTTTTTACCTGCTGCTGTCGGTAAGAAGATAAGAAATTACGGGCATCAAGAGGTAAAAATGATCCAATTGCTTGATTTTCAAGAGTTGAAGGGTATATGTGCAAATCTTCCAGTTCATGGGCCTGATTGCAAAATCGTAAATAGTTCGAGGGCGTATTTGTCTCTTTTCTCGGAAGCAAATATACTTATCTCTCCTTGTTGGAGAAGATTTTTTAGAATGTTTTGTTCCCTCTTTCACATAGCCTAACATAATCATTTTTAACACTTACAATACACTTTTATGTATACAGTACACTATTCATATTGCACTCTATTATAAAATTGTGCACATTAAAGTTTTATATATTTACATTTTTTCCACCGCGTCTTTTAATTAAAGTTTTATATATTTACATTCTCTTCCTTGATAGGAATGACTATTTTTTACTTGACCCATCACCCATGTATTGATATATAGGGTGTGATTCTAAATTCTAATAAGAGTAATTCATCATATGAGAAATAAGAATAATTCAAAACTATCATGGCAACAGAAAACGTCAATTAAATTACAAAAATACCACCATATTCTATAACAATCGCAAATCAAACACACCATAATCATTATCATTTCTCAAAGCCACAGATCCAATTTTACTTCATCCAAATTTTATGTACACACAAAACAATGACCTAGGATTGAACAAATGCAACATTTGTATCCCGTAATACCATGCCGGTTTTACACTGGTTATATTATTATAAGAATAACAATCTGATACTGTATTTGACCTTACAAATTAAAACAAAAGAGATCACTCATGAAGTGTGAATACAAGGTTCTGCCTAGCGCATTTATCAACCAGTTAAAAGAACATCTTCTTAGTCGCACATGCATGGAGCACAAGCGTCAATATATGACAGTGAAATTTTGACATTTCTCAATAATAATTAATACAGACAGTTGCGAAACAAAAAAAAAAAACTACTTGGATTCTTGTTTTTCAGCAGTCGTGATTGGAGCAGGCTCACCCTTTTCGGCATCCAGCTTGAGTGTTTTAACAGCCTCCAACGTTTTATAGAACTCCTCGGGAAGAGGACCGGGGTGGTGCAGTGGGAGATGTTTGGGTACTGGAGCATCATTTTCAACAACCTCACATTCATAATCATCCGGGACACCCCATGGTTTCCACTCTGCATTCACATATATATAGTACAAGACATGAGGCATGCATATGATATTTTGATACCGACCGACAAGCTAAAGGTGGCTAAGAGCATACAACACAAGAATTTGAGAGTTTGGCAAAGCATATATAGTCTTTGGTGACATAGTGGTCATTTGTGCATGCTATAGTCATGTACTCCCTAAGTTCCAAAGTGCTGTTTTTGTATTTGCTCATATACTAACGGTACGGTTGAGGTTTATTCCTTCAACTCCAAAGGCCTAACACTTTCCTTTGGTTTCGGGTGGAATAGTTTGTGGATTAAGAGTTTGAGCTGAGTAAGCACAAGCAAATAATGGACAAGTAAGAGGGTAATAAGTGGGTCGTGTCTTATGCAATAATAATAAGAGTCTGTTACATCACACTTCACTACAAGCCCTCTAGGCCGATCGTCTCTCTGAGCTAGGAGGGGGTAATTGTTATTGCTAGAGAGTATGAGTTCCCAACTCTTAACAATTAAATAAATGTTATTACCTCCATCCCACTATGTTTGGGACAAGAGAGTGTGGCACAATTTTTAAGAAAAAGTGGAATTGTGTGGTTGGTATTGAATTGATAAAGTGTAAATAAAGTAAGAATGAATTGTAGTCACTCAAATATTACCAAATATGGTACATTACAAACTTAATGGGACGGACGAAAAAGGTAAAACGGGACAAAGTTAGGGGGGTGGAGCGAGTATTATTTAAACTACCAAGGGGTAGATGGTCCAAGGGGTAGGTGGTGTTGATGACATGGAGGATTGTGGATGGCTAGCTTTC